AACATTCTGTGATTCTGTGTGATTCTTTGATGACCCATGTGAGGTCAGTAGCAGAACCAGGACTCCAAAAGACAACTCAAGACCTAATCTGCATTCACCACTAAACCACCCTACACCTAGCATAGAAAACACATGATTGTCCACCAGAAGACATCCTGTCAAAACCCATATAACTGAATGGCTGGCTTTTGCTTATTCCGTTATATGCCAATGACACAATTCAAGTAGCACTTACGTCTGTGTATTTATAATCACTGTTTGTGACGAGAAACACCTTCCCAACTTCATTCATGCGGCTGAGCAGCAGCGGCAGCTTCCCCTGAAAGCCAAGGGACATACAAGTCATACACAAAAGTTACAGATGCATCATGGGCAAAACACTCTCACCTATGATCCCACTGGACAAAACAAAGCAAATCAAACCACTGAGCAAGCAAACTCACATGTTTTGCACTGGCCAGAGCCAAGAAAGCTGCTGGTCTGTCCACCTAACACCTCTCCTGAGCAGAGGCCAGGGGCGGCAGAAGGGCTCAGCAGAGCCGCGGTGCCTTTGCCAACCACTGCGCCAGGCACCCTGAGCTGTCCCACCCATCTGCTCCAGGCAAGGCACACTGAAGCAGCTCTTCCAGCTCCAAGTCCATTCCCAAAATGGGCCCAGAGGCAGGTGAAATCTGAGCTCACGCGAGCCGCATGTTGGAGCGCATTACAATTCCAGCCTCAAATTAGGGAGAATTTATTCCTGGGGCTATTTTTATTGAACCATAAATCTCAGTCTATTGCCAGAGTAGCTGATTACCTCACAGAACGGTTTCCTGAGAATTTTGCAGGCGTGTAACTAGAAACAAAGTTAGCTGCTTTAAAGTGATACTCTACCATAGAGCTCATCTAAACCACGGAATAATTATACCACAAGTGGTCCAGAGAGGCCCTGCACACCACAGAGAGGGCGAAAGTAAGGGAATCACTGGAGCTTGCCCAATTAGATGTGCTGAACACACACTTTGGGGCTACCAAGAGGCTGCACATTGGTGAGTCTTTCAGGATCTTTCCCTCAGTCCCCCATGACCTAAATGCGTGTAGCATTTTTACAGTACTTCTGTCTAAAAAGATGCCCATCTGTTGCTTTCTAAAGAGAGGTCTGCTTGGGCAGAGAAAATTTGGGCAGGGAACACAGTTGCTTTCACCACTAAAAGAAACACCACAAGCCTTGCCAGCTTATTCACCTGTGTCCCGTGACAAAGTTTCCTCTAGCTTTGATATTTTACGTAAAAAACGTGCATGTGAATACAAAATCACATGGATCACTGGCTCAGAACAAAGACTGCATCCGAACTTTCCACTTTGTCTTTGGTTATTACAATAGAAATCACAGCGTTATCTGTTTTGTGATTTAGTAAAGCAAATCAGCATGTTTATTTCTTGCCTGCTTACTCAGTACAGAATGTCACGTAGCACAAGTAAAGTGACTTCACACTTACATCTTTCACCACATACTTTTCCAGATTCTCAAGCGTCTTTTCCTTGAGCGATCCCTGAAATAGAAACAACAGAGGCCAGTGAGGTAATGGAAACTTATGATGTAAGAGACATCAAAGTAATGCCAACTTTCACACTTTAAAATGCTGTGAAAGTACAAACCAGGGCGAATCTGAACCAGTGACTCTAGAGATGAGAGGCTTTGAGTAGCAGGGACCATCACAAACTCTGTGATCCATCGATTCCCTCACCATGGTAAATAATCCACTTCAACAGCATTTTAACCCTTTCAGAAGGGAATACAATAGAAACAAACAAAAAACAGATTTGCCATACCAAAAAAGACAGTCAACGACCTGTCTCCAACACTGACCATATTGCTTTACTCAAAGGTCAACTCCAACATGTATCAGACAACACTGCATAAGGAAATAAAAATAGATTCCTGACTTCTGCATGGCTAAAAGGACCACCACAAGTATGACTGTGATCAGAGTTCTCCTGTGATGGCTCTTCATCCCACCCCAACAGATCTCTTGAATGAGAAAGAACAAGAAAATCAGGTCTTTAACCAGATGTTAATGCCCACAGAATTATATTCTAAATTTGTGCACAAGTGTGTGAAAAAGATGAACTGCTTCTCCTCTCTAAATAAAGATGTTCAATGCAGATACTTTTTAGACCACATAAGATAGTAACAATGTAAACTATTTACAGTAAAATGCTATATTAACAATTAGGACAATGTACAAGTTGTAGACTGTAAGAGCAAATACCTTCACGGCCCATCAATTACAGTACAAAAATGTAATATGGGCACAATAAAAAGGAACAGGAAGCCAAGACCGATAAGTTCCATTACTAGGCAGGCAGTCAAGATATTAACTTATTCACACACAACTGCAATTTGTTATTTGCTCACTAGGCGGCAAAGCAAGATTCTTGCCCAAAAGTGGACTAACACGTCTTAACCCATGAGCTACAAACTAGACCCTCTTAACTCAGTTACAACTACGGTGCTTTTGCAATCACCTTGTAATGAACCCAGTCAACAGCATCTCTGACATCCTGGAACATACTCCTGAAGGACATGAAGAGGTCTCCATCCTTAAAACCCGTTTCACAGCTGTGAGGAGAAAGAAAAGAGATTGTAGCAGCCAACTGCAGCAGGCAAGAGGCACGTCAGGAAGACAGTCAAAATGCTGTTTGGAGACTGTGTTTTCATCTTAGCATAACGGTTTCTTATTTACTACTTTACTGCAACTCAGACTTGAAAGAAGAATTCAGCAGAATCTAGGTGTTACTGAAGAACGTTTGTTTAAAGCTTCAGGATGTGAGTTCCTAACTATGGACTTGTGCCTCCACAGTTCCTAATTGTGGGCCTGTGCCTGCAACTCACATTTCTGACCCGCAATATTACAAGAAAGGAAAAAGGCTAGGACCGTGCATTTCGCAGCATTTTACAAAAGATGAACGGCACGGAGAAAGTAAGCAGAACGCTGCTCTTTCTCCCTCCTTCCAACACTAAAGAAGGCAGTGCAATGGAAATCAACTAAATGCAATGCTTGCTGCTGAGAGGAGGAGCTACTGTTGTGTTGAACAGTTAGAGTTAATATCAGAAATTTCCTCTACAACTTATTGTGGTGGTATCTTTAAGACATCCATGAGAGTTTTCATCAGATAAAATCAAGGAGGATTAAACAGAGCTGTATTTATTCTGACAGCAATCATCATGCCTGTCAAGAGAAAGAATACTTCACCTGATGGATTGTCAGCATAAACAGTTCTGCTCCCAGGTAAAATCCCATTAAACCTTTGCCTTCCACTCACATAATATGCAAAGAGAACCCATCACATGAGTCAGCAGCACAGCTGCATTCACATTTGCCAGTTCAAACCGCAGCTTGTTTTTGTGCTTATACCTATCTGAAAGCTAGGTAAATACTCACGCTGCACAAACAGCCTTTAACACCACAACAGCATTTCACCTTTAAGTGAATGAATTATGACATGAGGGATTTGTGGTAACTGGCTGAGGAAATTCGACCTTTCAGTTACCAGTTCCAACATGGCTCCAGTGGAACACGGGTTCAAAATGAGCTCTCTGGTGCCTGTAATAAGTGTATGGTTTCAGAAGCTGTTCCAAATACCCATGTCAGTCACTATGGTGATACTGATACACCTTGTGAAGGAAACCTCACAACACATCGATTGTCTCTCATCACCACTGAATTTTCTTAAAGTCAGAAGAATAAGAGGCCTGAACTTTTCCCCACTGAAACCACTTGAGGGGTCTCCACTGATATTAAGAACAGCTCCATCTGTACTGTATTGCTCTTTATAATAACAGTTACTTATATATGTGCCAGCAGCACCTCAAACCAGGGGGAATACATACCTAGTGTACCGGTCACAGTTAGTAAAGAAATCCACTAGACAAGCCAATAGGTATGTTTCTGCAAAGAAACAAAGCATGTTTTTAAAATAAGGGTAGCACCATACAGCTAGCTAACTTAGGCCCTGTGCCCAAAATAAGAAAGTTCATGTAAAACAAACCCCAAAACAGATTAGTAGAGTATGGCATTAGCAAAGCTTTACTGGCTTCAAAGGCACAGAAACAGGCTCACATTCGACTCACCTGGTAGATTGAATAAGGTGTTCAGAATGTAAAACCTATCTGTGTCATCTCTCTGGATAAATTTATTTGGATACTGATCCCGTGTTTCAGGCCTGAGAACAGATAAGGCGGAGAAGAATGAAATCACAAAAAAAGAGGATAAAGCGTGCTGAGCGGCAAAAGATCATTGTAGCGGGATCCATTAACTCGAGTTCATTGTGCTTTACCCAGCACCCAGTTCCCATGTGCACAAGCAGCACAAGAGCCAAACTGATCCCCTGGCATTGCCCTCAAAGCCCTCCTCGCTGACCAGCAAACCCAGCAGGGCCCACAAAAGGAAACACTGGTCGAGAGTCCAGGACTCCACCTTAAGCCTCGTGCTGTTCCCGGCTCTGAGGATGCCTTAAATCATCTGCACTTTCATTGTTTGCTTATCTTAAACTTTCCCCCACTTTCCATGTGTTGCTTTATGCTCCCCCAGCAGTTTTCAGCTGGGGAGTGCAGGGCTGTGCTGCGGGAGGTTTGCCTGGGGCTCTCTGCAATTAATCAGCAGGGTGGCGATGACTGAAGTCATTTAATCATTCTGGTTTCCTTCATTTCTGGAGCTTCTGAAGATCACCACTCACTCAAAGAGGAACCTGAGTGAACATGTAAGAGCTTTTTCTGAATTTCGGCTTCCTGATTCAAGGACTTACAGGCCTGCAAGGACTAAGTTTGTCACCTTGGGGGCCCTGAGCTGGCCTGTGCTTGCCGGGACACAGCAGGCACATAGCACTGCAGTCCCCTCTGCTTCCTAAAGCACCTTCTCTAGGGCAAAAGAAATGCAAGGAGCCAGGGAAGGCTGCAGGATACGGCACAAAATGCCTCACTTCTGTCACCCTCAAAGGTCAGAAACACAAAAGGATAGGCAAGCTTACACCTTCCCCAAGCCAGCTCAGGCCCTTGAATTTTTTAGCAATGTCTGTGGAGTTTAGAGACTCACAGGGCATGGGTCCTCTGCTCCCAGCAGTCCCTCACACAATGGCTTTGTCTTAACTGCTGATGTTAAACTATGCCAGAACAGGGGAACAGCCCCTGGATTATCCCATCAAGCCCTTCTCACAGCACACCTTCTATTTCCAGCACACTACAGACATGCCTGTGCCAGCATGGATCTTTCCTCTGTAAAAACTTGGGGCTGTTGTTGTGTCTGGGACCATCAATGCATCCCCAGTCAATTCGGGAGCTGTAGGAACACCGACAGAGCATCTGCTGGTAGTGGAGTCCCCGCAGCTTCTCATACAATGGGTGCCCTGAGGATCAGTGACACAAATGAGCGCATTAAGTCAAAAAGAAGAGCCAAGAGACAGAACTCACCCTCTGAGGAAATTAAAGCCATGTGCACACACGAGCAGGTTCCCATAGGCATCAACTTTCAACAGGTTTCCATAGTGGGTATCAAACACCAGGCCTCTGTTAAGAAAGCAATTCAAGACGTGAAGAAGCGAGTTTATTGAACGGCACCCGTTTTAACAGCATTTCTTTTCAAATCAGCTCTAGAACAGCTCGCTCCCTTGGTGGGGCGCATTGGAACAGAGTTGCTGTTATTATGCATACGGGGTCCTTTCTGTCCCTTCTACCCAGCTGCATGTGAGCAACAAGAGCCCTGCATCGCCCGGGGAAAGGTAGAGCTGACCTGCCCTTCACTGACTGGAAAACGGAACCATTTAACCCGGCAGAGGCTTAGCTATGCACACACCAGGGAAGACGAGGGCCCCTTCCACAGGGTCACGAATTTGACACCTGTGTTTGTGGTTCCCTGACAGCGCTGCTGGGCTGCAAGGAGGAGAGAGGTGTGATAAAGAAATCTCCTTCTCGTCGCTCTGACACAGGCAGAGCCAGATGGGGCAAAAATGCTTTGTACATTCCTGTTTCCAGCTCCAGCAAAACTCGTGTCTCACTTATCTAGTAGCCTTCATCTGGAGAATGTAGCCTTCCCACAGAGACATTCCTTCTGTCCCCTCCCTGGAAAGAAGGCAGTGGATTTAATGGAGCCTTCATCACAGGTCTGGGAAGGGCTACTGTCTTGTTACAGGCTTGGGCGCACCCAGCATCAGTCTTGGAGTAAAACATGCATAGGAGGAGGGAAGGAAGGAGGTCACCAGACTGAAAACTGGAACAACAAGCCAATAGACTCTCTGGTCCAGTCTTTTGTAAAGAACTCTAAGGGAGTCAAAAAAGCAAAATCCAGCAAAGGCACAAGTGGAAACAACTTAAACATGTGGAGTTAGATCAAAAGCCTTGCTTAAAATAAGCAAGGTCCTTTTTACCTCTGCTACCAAAAGACAAAATGTAAAAATTTAGTGTCTTCGCACCATTAATTTTGCTTTTGGCATTTGACTCATCTAGACAAGAGAACTGTTGTTTACTGTCAGCTTAATTTCCAGGATGTCTTATGCACCAGGACATTATTAATTGAAATCTTCAAAGAAAAATGTACTGAGATTTTCTAGCAGCCTCATGGATTCAACTCCTAATCCAATTGTGTCTCTGCAGTCTTTGCTTTAAAGGTTATTTTTGGACCATGTTTTCAGCAGGCCTCTTTTCTTGCACACTCCCTCTTTGCTGGCATGGATTCATGTGTACAAAGGCTCTCCACATATTGGAGCAGTCTGCTCCCTTCCCCATGATCTGTGGTCAACCACAGGCTTCACAGGCACAACTCTGAAAACCTGGCCTCACGTGTTGCCTCTGAACTTCACAGAACAAATATTCAAGGCCTCAAGCAGGCTGGGTCGGTATCTGTTAGTCATTTACCTGGTAGGGAATGCAGGATCATACACAAAATTGAGCAGCTCATGAGGGTATCCAATGGAAACTAATCTTTCTACGGTCAGGTCAAATCCAAGAGATTCGTATTCAGGGGATTTATACACTGTACCAAGATGAGATTTCAGTTAGAAAATTTGAAAACAGCTAGGGGGTTAAACAAGAAGGCAGTTAAAAAGTAATGTACCCGCTCGCCCTCCTCCCTCCTCCACATCACACGTTCCCTTCTTTGCTCCTGCCCTTCGCTGCCTTGGGTCCCCAGCCCGGAGCCGCGGTGGAATTAGCTCATGCTCCAGGACTGCCGTGAGCGGAGCAGCAGTTCAGGTTTCAGCAGCAACGTGCACCAGATGAAATATCCATCAGTCTATCAGAGCTCTCTGCATCAGGAAACACATATTTCAAGCTGCAGCTCCTCTCCCTGCAGTCCCATTCAGCAGATGCACGAACACTTCCTGTTCCACCTGCTCGGATCGGGGTTTAGGTTTGCTGTGTTTTTGCAAAGCTGATGAAGAAACCAATAAATCTTGGGAACACATGTATTCATGGTTAGAAAGCCTGAAATTTATCACTGCTGTGCTACTGTTACTGCTCTAGATACAATCTCAAAGCTTAGTACTGCCTCCAGATTTCATCTCGGGGGAATTTATGTTTGCTGCAGATGAAGTTAGCTTGAAGGTAGAGCTGTCACGTTAACATACGATTTGTTTGTTAATAATACCATATGGTACTGTAAAAATCTGTTAGCTATTATGCATGTGCATCAAAATGCTACTCTTTAAAGCAAGCTTACTGTTCTCTCATTTCAGAGGAGCTGCTCATCTGTGACACACACCTTAGCTCAATGCAAAAGAAATGGACTTGTTCCTACCACCAGGGCTGTCTTCTTCCTGCAAATGACCTTCCCATGTACTGCAAATGTGACGGTTTAATCAGCCCCTTAAATTAACATTTAAAAGGAAATCCCTGTGTTTCTATGACAGATAGAAATCACTGTTTTCTCTGACAGTGTGTTTGCATTTGCTCCATTGGTCCAAATCCATTCGGATTGGTCCAAAGGTGGAACACCGTCAAATACAACCCTTGTCTGCAGTGAGGGTTATCATGGGTTCAGTGGGCCCAACGTGTCTCAAACACCTGAACACTTCACATTTATCTGAGCAAAATACAAAAATGTGCAAGTTACACAGTAAGCTCCTTAGAAGACAGACTGTTTTTCCTGCGAGAGAGCTAGCACATCTGTGGACCTCACAAGATATATTTACACACACTGTCTATACTGCCCTGGTAATTACCACTGTATATATACTGTGGAACACAGAAGCTCAATTTGAGAGGTGAAACCAAATATATAAAATACTAAAAAAATATTAAAAAGGCAAGGACTACAGAAGAAACAAGACTGTCAAAAGACTCAGATCATAGGAACCATGACAGAGGGTCCCTGTATCTCTTAATAATCTAAACAGAACCAGAATCCTAAAACTTCATTTCCCCATTAAACTAACACCATTAAAAATGTAATCAGCAAACCTGTAATGTTCTTAAACAGATAACTAAAATCAATAAAACAGTTATCAAAATCTTCAAGCATTATTTTACAGATGGCAAACATCAACAACATGATACAACATTCAATGCACGTAGTCTTTTCTCTCATTTAGGAAAGGAAGGGTTGATTGAGCTACAGATAGGAGCAAGCAATCAAAAACTATGGCTAATGAAGAAAGTAGTGACTGACAAGGCAATTCTGGGGAAGGAGCTAGAGCTGGAGGGAGCAAAAGGCAGTTAGGTGTTGAACATCATTGTGAGAGTGACACCAGAGCATCATCTGCAAAAAGGAACTCCTCTGATGCAGGACAGTAAAGGCACTTCCCAGGGAAAATGGTAATAAATACACCTGCACATATTCTCAGGTGAAAGAGCTGCGAAGCTCCCTGTTACGTGAAGGAGCCTCCAGTCCACCCCTCTGTCCGTGAAGCTGCTGCGCTCCTCCTCCTCATTAGCTTCCCAGGAATTTGACCACTTAACCAACTTGTCCACAAAACACCACTCCCAAACAAAATACTTCTCCAAGGAAAGCCTGCTCTTTCTGAACTCACCAGCCATGGTGATGCTGCCCAGACACAAAGCATCTCAAGGAGCACACTGGCATCTCCTCTGGACAAGCAGAAATGGTTCAACAACAGCTCCAGCAGGACCTTTCCAGGGAAACTTGAGGGCTTTCTGTTCAACAGCCTGTGCATCTTGTTAACACTCGGGCAGAGAATGGCTGTGGTGGGAGAGGTGGCCAGCTGCTCACAAAATGCCCTCACTCAATTTCTTCCTTTCTGTATTTGCCTCTCTATCTTAGATTTATCACTACAGCCTTCATTTTAACTCTCTCCGGAAACAAGCTGATGTACCAGTAGGAAAAAGGCTGAAGAACAGATATCACAACCTCAGTCTTCACCATGCCAATTCCCTGTTCAGGCAGTACTGCAACAGGATTAATTGAATGTTTCTTTTTGGGAGGCAGTTATTCCCATCACCTTTCAAGCTCTAGACTTTGCTTCCTTGATATCTCATTGAATAAAACTAAACTACTAGCTCATTCATGCCTCAGGTCCCTTCCCTATTTTTCTACTACTCCACAATACCTGCAAAATAAGAGCCTCCTCCTTGATACACAAACTAAACGGAGACCCACAGGAAACTGAACTGGAAACAGTAAAGAGACAATAAACATTCTCCAGTTACCATCATACTTACTGTTTAAGACAAACTTTCCTTTAATTAGACACACAGCTGGGAACAGACTGAGATCTCACCAAGCCCACCTTGACAGCACCCTACACCACAGCACACACTGCATCAGTGGGTACAAGCCACAACCCACAGACATTTCTCGTAAGCGAACGCCTGTGCGAACGCCTGTTTCAGTAATCTGAGCTTCCAGGCAAACAAACGATCCACCTCCTTCAGATCAAGTACGAACAGGCTAACACTGCTGCAACTGTGGCAGCACATTTGGGGAAGATGATGCCCCAGTTATATGCATTACTAGATGAAAAAATGTATTTCAGTACTGTACTCAGGGCTTGTTGCTCTCTCTCACATCTTGTTTACTTCAGTCATCCATGGGGAAAAAGAGTAGAGAGGATGGATCAATATTATTTTGTGCATGATGAAAAAATAGTTTAAAAACCTTTCCTGGAACATCACCCTCCCTCACACCTGGTTGCTGAGACCACAACTGAAGATGATTTGTGTGCCACGGCAATGCCATGAATTCAGCTATTAGCCATACCCTATCTCCTGTGCTCAGCTCTTTCACTCAGCTGAGAAGGGCTAAGTCTTCAAGCATCCCCAACTCTGTGACACGTACAGAGGCAGAGCTATGAGATCAACTCAGAGCATCCTTGCCCAGTGCACACAGGATGACAGTAAAACCAAAGCACCCGCTACAACTTACTCTGATTTTTTTTTCTTACTACTTGATGGCCGTGGCTCTGCCACCATGCCAAGTCCCCGGCTCCAGAGGACCACATTATTTTAATAGTCCGTATTCCAACACAGGCAAGTGATTCAGCAGCGCAGGGCAATCAGCACCCAGCACTCGGGGATTATGCAACCAGGGTGGAAAGAAAACAACCAAGAGTTTAAAAAAAACAGAAGCCAGTTGACAGCATTTCAGCCTCCCCTTAATACCATCACTTGGCTTAACATTATACTACTGAAAGGTAAAAAGCAGTACCCCGGGAGTGAACGCTGCAAGCCTTCAGGTCTGTGATGAGTGTGGGCATCCCTTACACGGTACGTGCGAGGAGGGAAGCCGATCTGGAATGAGCAGGGGTTGTGCGGTAAGGTATGCAATTCTCATGCATTTGTGTGGTTGTTTTTACCTTTGCTGCCAAGACACATACAGTAACGATTTTATAGCCTTCCTGAAAAGGAAAAAAAAATAAAAGAAAAAGAAAAAAAAAATCTCTACAGAGGCTCCAGCTTATGCAAAATGCTGCTGCCAGGATTTTAACTCACATGAGGCAGATGCAGATTCAGAGTGTCACTCCAGTCTTGACGGAGTTACACTGGGCTCCCCTGTTAAAGAAAAAAATCAGACTGATTTTAAAACTGCAACAGCTCTGTGCCACGTGGGACTGTGTCTGCTGGAGCTCTGTCCTCTGGTAAGCTCAGAAGCCGGCCTGGCAGCTATTCCAAATTCACTTACAAATGATTTATAGGGGAGGCACAGTCAGTAATCGTGCATCCTGCAGGCAAAATTCTGTCCTCATATCCACAAAGCAGTCTTAGATCATCAGCTCAGTGATAATTAGGAGAAAGAGGCTACAAGCACATTGCCCATGTGACACAAAACCTTTGAGTTTCTCTCAGACGCAGAGCAACTGGTTCAAGAACAGGTCTCGTGCTCTTTTTGGGGCTTTGCCATTATTGTCCATTCCTCAGTCGGTGACACATTACTCACTTCAGGGCACTCATTTTCTTTCACACCACAAAACGCTTGCACGTGTCAGCGCAGGAGACTCGAGAGACTGAGTCAGGAGCTACTCCGGGAACCTGAGAAGAGAATTTTGCCCTACATCTGAAGGAGCATCCAGCAAGAGCCTCGCACACCGAGTCAAGTCTGACATAGCACATCCAGGTTCAATCGTATACTTCAACACACTTACACTTGGGCTTTTACGTGCAAGGCACTGCAGGGTAAACCAGTACCAAACCTGCACATGTGCTGTAGTGTATTGCAGTGCACTGGTTTGCAAGCACACACAGTCAGAAGACCAGAGCTATTCTGCAGCTTACAGGTATGCACAGAGTAATCAGGAATAACTCTGAGATCCATTTTTCACTAAATACAAAGCTGAATGAGTTGTATCGACATTGCGAAAAGGACCCACTGAAGTATGCAGACCTCCTGGAAGGCTTCTCTGAAAATAAGTGTTTAAAGGCTGTTTTGTTTCAAAACGAATAGCTGGGAAAGGCTGTAGTGCATGTGATGGCTCTGTTTAAGCTGTGGAGAGGAGAAAACCCTCCAAGGGCTGCCCATTTCTTTCCTTTTTCCTCTTCCACACACAGATTGCAACGTCAGGCAGCTTCTCAATGAAGGTGTAA